CGTTCGGTTTTAGCCTTTATAGGCGGTTCCTTTCAGCTTAGGTATCGCGTGTTTTTATAAAGGCTTTATAGCCATAAGCTTATAAGTGCGTAAGGTTAGGTTAACGGCCGTGTAGGCCTTTGTATAGCGTTCGCTAGTCGTTAATATATCGTGGCGTCCTATTATATAGATACACGGTAGTCTTAAAAATCTTAGGCTAGATAGATATAGGCAGATTAGCTCTAATCCTTATAGCCCTCGCCCTTCTCTTAATAATACCTCTAATCCGTTCTATAACGCCGTTTTAATTCTATAAATATAATACCGATAGCTAGCCTTCTACCCCCTTAGTAGCGAGGAAAATAACGACTTCTAGGTATTAAAATATCTCGGAATCGGCTTATAGGATATATAGCCGGATATGGAATTAGGTCTTAAGCAGAGTAAAAACGTCTTTTAACGCGTATAGGATAAAGCCTTAGTCTCTTTTCTATAGGTAGTAATCCTATATATAACTCATATACACGTCTATAACGAATATAACAGACTTATATAGGCCGCCTGCTAACGACTCCGCCTCTTTTAGATCGTGAAAGTTAATAGCTAGGGCCTCTCCGGGCTTTAACGGGTAAAAGGATAGTATCCGCCGGATCTACATAGGCACTTACGATTACCTATATGCGTTATAGTCTATTATATAAGGTCCTTTTATCTTTACCCCCTAAATAGCGTCAATAATCTTTGTGAGAGTATTAATGCTATAGTGGCTAAGGCGTTCGTGCTACTATTATACCGTAGTCTTCTACGGTTATTGCGGTTATCGTAATCTCCCTTATAGGTTATCGCGCGGGTGCCTTACCGAGACCGCGAATACGGTGGCAGCTATAGCTTCCGCGCGCTCGATTATATACTAGCCGTGGATATCTAGTAGCTTATAGATAGGCCGGTTATCGGCGGAGCTAATAATAGTATTATTTACGGTATCCTAGTAGTAACCTTATAGGCGTAGCTAGTATTATAAGATAATATTAGTAATAAAATCCTTATAGTATATAATATCACGGAGGCGTAATAGCCTCTTTATACCCAATAGGGATTATTCACGTAGCGTATTATCTCCGTATTCGAGGATAGAAGCCTTATAAGTACCTACCTAAAAGGATAAAGATAAAGTATTCGTGGGTAGTCTAATAGCCGTAAAACGGCCTTGATTATTAAAGATATAGATTAACGATCCTAAATCTAGGATCGCGTAGTATAATAGCGCTCTAGCTTAGTTAATAGAAAGGGATACCCCTTATCCTTATTATAATCTTAATAGTATTATCGTATAATAACGCGCTACCCCTTAGGTTAGGTAGGCTCTTAGTCCTATCGCGGTGATAGATAAGTCTTTATAAACTATTATAGTAGTAGGCGTAATATTATAGAGTTAATCTTCCTAGACATCCTTTATCTTATTAGCGGTAGTTGCTATTACTTCCCGCCTTTTCTATATCGCGGTGTCTACGCGGCTTTTAAAACTATAGTTACGTATTCTCTTTTCTATAACCTTCGTACTATCTTTACGGCCGTACTAAGTATAAAGGCGTATATCCGGCCTTATATATTAATAGGCGGCGGTAGTATAGGGGTTCTTATATATTTTATAGGGCCTCCTTATTATGGGAGGGATAGCCTTTACGGACGTATCGCTATAAGGACGCTTCTTATTATCTTTATTATTAGTAGTATCCTTAGTATTAGAGACGTTCCTAAGGGTATTAAAAGTGCCTCTCCCGACTCTAGGCTTTATAGTAAAGGATTATAGGCTCTTTATATTACTAAGAACCGCCATTACAGCCTTTACGAAGTCGTTAATCGTTAGCTTATTTTCCGTAATCTTATCGTAGTTATTAACTAGGTAGTTATTACTCTATTCCTGGGTAATAGGTCTAATAGCTTTTAACGCGTTTTCCGCCTAATAGTCCGCGCTTAATAGCTTTAAAACGCCTATATATTTATAGTGTATTATCGCTGTTTTCTAGCTTACTACTAAGGCGTTTATATCCTTAGGTATAGCCTTTATAGGCGTGGTGTATCGTCGGTATAGGACTAGGGCTTCCTTATAGAGGTCTATAGGTATTAGTCCTGCGTACGCATATAGGAGGGTAATCTAAGCTTATAGGTTATTTATATTATCGTCCTATAGTTATACGAGGAGGTTATATAATATAGTATAGACGGTCCTTTTAATATATAAGCGTACCTCGTTAAACCTTTTCTACTACGCGTTATAGTCTACCTTTTCCTCGCGGTATACACGGCGATCCTATAGGTAGCGTATACGCCTTTTTTTAAAGAGGTTATTAATAAATATAGGTATCCTTATCGGTGGTTCTTTTATTACGGCCATAACCTTCCGGTAAGCGGCCGTCTTCCTTTTACCGGTAGCCGTGGCTATTATAATACCGGCCGTGGTAGCTATAGCTATAGTATCCGTGGTATCCGTAGCCTTATCGCCCTTTAGCGTAATAGTGGAAAATAGAGTAGCCGTGATAATAGAAGATAAGGTAGCCGTGGCCTCCTCCGTATTAGGGTCTACGGCGAGGGCTTTATATTTACGGATATTAGGTAGCGTAGGCTTAAGAAGCAGGTAAGTATCGGCCTCCTTATCGCTTAGCTTTAGATTAAGATAGTTTTCTTAGTAAGAGGTAGATTTACCGCGTATAGCGTGCTCTTATATTACCTAATCCCTTTAATTAATAAGGGTAATAGCGGCCGCCTTCTATTCGGTATTAGATATATTAGAAGATATCTTTACTTATTTATTAGTTAATTAATTAATTAATAGGTAGATTAATAGGTTAATTAATCGCTTAATTACTCTAATTAGGTTAATAGTAATTATTTAAGAGTGCTTATATAAACGTAATAACTTTTATAGTAGAATAGGGGTAGCCTTATTAATATCTATTATTTAGGCGTTATAAACCGGGCTTATAACTATCGCACGTTAAATAGCATTTAAATAACTAACTTAGTAGAGTAGAAATCTCGTGTATATATATTATATTAAGTTATATCTATATAAGTCTTTTATGCCCCTAATTTAGGTGGTAAAGACTCTATTATGGGTACTATATCATTTAGATCCTATCCGGTCTTTTCCGGTATTCGCCCCTATTATATCCTGATACCCGAGGCCCGAAGCCCTTAGTCAGGGAGTGGATCCCCCCTGGATCTCCTATAGACTACGTCGTGGTCCTGCCTATGCGACACAAATTAGGGGGGTGGCCGGATTAGGGTGGTTTGACTTAGATTATATGTACGCGTAAAGCTGGACGATTTCCTTGGCTCAAGTCCTTGCCCATCCTTCCCTTGGCCTTTTGTTTTCCCCATTTCCTGTTCTTTAATAGTAGCTTTGGTTCAAGAGATCTACGGAGCAATAAGAGTCGGTGAGATGACTATTCCGTGAGTTTTGCGGACATGTTATTTTTGATTAGGTTGATACTTAGTGCGAAAGTAAAGTCACGATCGCGACTGATGAGTAGGATGAGCGAGATATCCCGAGGTCTATCGCTTTTCCCAGGTTATTGGATTACTCAACAGGAACCTCGGCATGCCTAGGTAATTAAAACTTAATAAATGCTCTGGGAGGGTCGGTGGGATGCCATCTAGTGATCTGCGGCACTTGCTTGAACCATGCTCCTAGACCTCGAGAAGTAGCGGGGTAGGAAGTGACGGCTGAACAATACCTACAACGTACAACGCATGTACACAGTGGTGTGACATTACGGAGGGGGCCAAAGCGGGGGTTCAAAAGATGTCGACAACTGGAGCCCCGCGAGGGAACGCTTGTACTCTATAGGTTTGGCTCACAGCAGCTTGATTTCCCCGGATTTCTCCGCGGACTGTAAGTACAGAGTTCGAATTATTATCCCGGACTCCAGTTCCCCGATCATTGTTCACACGTGGATAGTTGTCTAAATGAATAAGTTTAAAAAGACGTCAAGAAACGATAGGTAGAAGTATACTCCGCATGAAGTGACTTTGGTATTACTCTACAAGGTACTCCGTACAACGTACGAAGTAGTTAATACTAGCGGATTTATGACAGAACACGCTGCAGAATTCCTTAGGTCTTGATGCTTTGTGTGACTCCATGGTCCCGGGCGGGTGTCGCGACTTAAATCACCCCCTTAATAAATCGCCGAATTCGTACGGTGTGCTTAGGCCACGAAGACGATTTAGGCGGAATATCTGAGCGCAATTGCCAGGCCTGGCCTCATTTGTTGGATTGAGCCGTTCTGGGGTCCGATCGGAGGGGTATTCCCACTTTATAATCTCAAACGACGACGAAGCGCTCCAGAGTACCCTTGTACGTGTATGTACGTTGTACTCCGTACTTCGTAGTCATTGTTACTACCTACCCGGGAGGGGTGGTTTCTAGGTCAGAGCTTGGACAGAGACTTTTGCTCTGACCAGAGCCAGGACAGAGAAATTTCTGTCGACATGATGTTCTAAGACTGTTAACAGATTGACCAGTTATCGGGCTCTGTCCTATACCCCCCCAAACCCGGGTAGGTACTTATCCCGTACCAAGACCCAAGCCCCAGACTAACAGCGCCTTGCATATTTGGTCACCGGCTGTTGCCCTTGATGAGAAACACCGATCAACTTATTGGTGTTTCTGGTTTTGCCATCCTTCTTCTCAACCCATCTTCTCATCGTCCCCATTCTCACCTTTTAATGAAGCTTAACGCTGCCGTCTCCCCCCACTCCCCAACCAACCTGACGCTGCTGTAAGAAGTATTATTCCGTACTCCGTGTCTTATTAGCTAAGGTACAGCACGTACTCCATACATGTAGCATCGTCTGTGGAGAATCTGTGGCCTTTTCGTCGTCCTCGCTGTGATCTTCAACCGATCCCTCCTTAAGCTTGTCTCTCTCACTTTCACTTCCACCTCGGCACCAGTTCCCGGAACTCGGTCTTTATTACATCCCCCTTCCCTCTCCCACCTCCCACGCCAGCTGTCGCCATGGTATATTGTGGCAAGCCCTCTCGGGGCTGTCAAATGTGCAGGTCCCGACGGATCAAGGTGAGACGTGTCACATTTACCTGTGATCTGTGTGGGATTCAACTTTGTATATCATCATTCTGACCACTATTTCCAGTGCGACGAGAATAAACCTACCTGCAACCAATGCGCTAAATCGCGCCGTCAGTGCCCAGGTTACAAGGACGAGTTCGATCTTGTCTTCCGCAATGAGACCAAGGCGACCGAGAGACGAGTCCAGAAAGCCAACCGCAAGGTCCTGACAAAACCAAAGGACATCGATCCTTCATCCGCCACCCACGCCGAGGCCGAGGCCACCAAGGTTTTCACCTCAACGGCCGCCGCCATAGTGCCAACTCTGAGGCTACCCGTCGAACAGACGGCGTCATGCCACTTCGTCGCTAACTACGTTCTCCTGCCCCGCCAGGATGGCACGCGAGGTTTCAACGAGTATATATTACCGCTACTCAAGGCCGAGGCACCGGACGGCCATCTCCATCATGCCTTCAACGCCTGCGCCCTCGCTTCCTTGGGCAACCGGCCCAACGCCCCCGGGTCTGGCTCCGATTTAATCTCTCGGGCCTTAGGCCACTACACCAAGGCCCTATCCGCCACCCACCTGGCCCTCCGGGACCCTGAACTGAGCAAGTCCGATGCCACCCTGGCGGCGGTGCTGATGCTGGGTCTCTTTGAAAACATCACAGCCAAAAAGATGGGCATGTTCGCCTGGGGCTCCCACATCGAAGGCGCCATCCAGCTCGTCAAGGTCCGCGGCCGTAAGCAGCTGCGGACGAGGACGGGATTCCTACTCTTCATCGCCGTCCGGACCCAAATGATCATCCACTCCCTCAGCACCGGCACCTCTCCCATCATGGGCGTCGAGTGGTGGCTGAGCGACGCCATCAGAGACGAGGGTGTCGCGCACTGTCAACGCCTCGCCATCAAGACGGCCGAAATCCGCGCCGAGTCGGCACGGCTCGCTTCCACCATCCCGCACAACCCGGAAAACATCGAAATCATGCTCGATATGATCCGGCGCGCCCAGACCATCGACCACGAACTGGTCAGCTGGCTGCAGAACCCGCCCAAGTACTTCGAATGGAAGACGGTCGCATGGGAAGACCACGTCCCGGGCGGCGACTACGAGAAGGCCGAGGTCTTCCCCGGAAGGGTCGACATCTACCGGGATTTCTGGATGGCGAGTGTCGTCAACCTGGCCCGCGTCTTGCGCCTTACCCTGGCCACCATCATCGTCCGATGCGCCGCCTGGGTCTGCAGCCCCGTCGACTACCGCACCACGCCCGAGTACGCCACCGCCGCGCGTACCTGCGTCGACACTATCACCGATATCATCGCGTCGGTGCCCTACTCACTCGGCTGGCACCTGAAACGCCCCGAGATCATCAAGCGCGCCAACTTGTCTGGGTTTGCCTGCGGCGAAGAAGACAGCCCCAAGGGCTTGCCGGGTTACTTTCTCACTTGGCCCCTCGCCAATGTCTATGCCCAGGATTACGCCACCGACGCGCAGCGCGCATGGGTGGCCGGACGCCTCAAGTTCATTGGCGATGAGCTGGGCGTGAAATATGCTCACTTGCTATCCCAGGTATGAATCATCGTTTACGGCTCTAATGATATCTTGCTGACCCATAACGCAGCTTAACCTGCGCGTTCCTTCCATGCTCATCCGTCGCGATGCCATGATGGCGAACTCACAAGGCCTCGACGCCCACCCGCTTCTTGCCGCCCGTCTGGCATCGCCCAGGCCTGCTTCTGGGGCTGATCTGCTCTCACAACTTCAGGCCATGCATCATGATTTGGCGGACCGAGACCAAAACAAGATTGAGCTACTGGTCAAGGCGACTGCGACTGGCACGGCTGATCAGTCGTCGAGGCAGTGGGCGGCACGGAACGTGCAGACGCTTTAGTTCCCCGTGTTTCATTTCGATATGACCCACTCGCCATTTCCTAATGGTTTTCACTATTGGGCCCTTCGTGCTAGGCCGGTTTAAAAGGGAGATACCTTGGCGTTGTCGATGCAACGGGCGACGACGCCGGGAGTTAAGGGATCACATTTGGGCGTCATGGCGTTGTCAACCTATTCTGGCTGGCGTTTTGATTTGTATTTTCCGGTGTGGTGCTCATTCCCGGCGAATGATTTGACGACGCCCATGAGCATGTGCAAAACTTGAAGTTGCACCAAAGGTTTTTGAAATTATGGATCAAGGGTTTTCGCAGACGGTCACGAAAGGCATTCTCAGTATTCTCACTTATTCGGTACGATTCGTACCCCGTATAACAGAGCAAGACGACTCACGCGCATTGCATCTCCTAACCATTCTTCCATCCCTTCCATGGTCAGGCAGGCCAGGCGTGAAGAAGAAGAAAAAAAGGAAAAAAAAAGGAAAGAAAAAGGGGAAAGAAACCCCCAAGTTGTTAGGATCTTGTTGGATATGATAACCATCTGCCCTAGTCCGGTACGCCATATTTTTCCCAAAGCCCAAGCCAAAAGTCAGATTTATCGTCGAATCGTGTAAAGGTTGTTCGTTCAAGTTCGTATGTTACCGCCACGGAGTGGCGATCCAAGCGGCCCTCCGCCCGCCGGTGACTTTCTACACCGTAGATCGAGGGGTTTGTTGTGAGGTACGAGTGGTTGTATTAGCACCTTTTCCGAGTCGACCTGGATAAAGCCGGCACAATGAGCCCCACTACCTTTCCAAGTCACTTGGCCACGGGACAAGAAAACATAGACGAAGAGTGAAGAATATGGAACGGGGAGATAGAATAGCTGGGGAAGGGAGACGTACTTGTCCTCGATCTTGCCGCCGGCTAGACTCCAAGCCTTGTAAACCCAGCCCTGCGTCTGGTCGACATACTTTTCCGTTTCGACGTGCTTGACGCCGACACGGACCCCATCCTTTGTAAAGACGACGTTCTTCTTCTCCATACGCTGCGAGGCAACGTCTTGGATCTTCACAACGGACAGATAGATCTGCCAACAGACCCAGGCGATGCCGCCGAGGACGATGAAGGTGATGATGAGCGGGAGGAGTTGACTGCGGCGTAGGGCGGTTCCAAAGAGGTCAGCCATGATAGGGAATTTTTTTTTTTTGGAGGCGTAAGTCAGTGATTGTCGCACCCGAATGACACGGGCGGTCCTGCACGGTGCCTGCGTCCCTCAACCACCGACGGGAAAGACACGAGAAACAAGTCGGGGGAGTTGTTGGTGGTCGGACTCACCTCATCCTCGAGGATTGTTGTGGCTGGCTCCACGCCATGGTGCAACGATTGCTTTTTGTCCTTGTTGGATATGGAGATTGACCCGGATGATTGGCCGTCGTCGTCCGCTGGAGATGCAGAGGCTATGCGGAGCAGAGCTGCAACAGCCGCTTGGAGTAGGGTACGCGGTCGTCCAACTTGTATATCGTGGTTATCGAAGAGAGAATTGACAGGCGGGATTTGATGATAGTGGCAGGAGTAAAAGCACGGAGTATTTCGAGGTAATTAACAAAATATAACGGTGTATGTGGTCGGTACTCTGCAGTGCCGCGCGGCTTACCGACGGATCAGGAGGGAAGAAGGGGCAAAACGGCCGAGGAGTTGAAGCTTGACTCGTTCGTGGGTTTCGCTCCTTAGTGTCTCTTATACAGGAACAGACGCCGCAGTAAGTGAAGGACCGCAGTTTGGCAGAGGGCAAGAAGAAAAGAAGAAAAGCCCAGTCGAATTCGGCCTGTCCCTAAAAAAGAAAACAAAACGACAACGAAAACGGTATCCCGATTGAATGTGGAAGTTTGCATGCGATGTAGATGTACCGGTACTCTGTGAGGTCCGAATGGCGGGGAGCTGCGTTTTGGGGCTGACCTGGTACTCCGCACAAATTTGCACCTGTCTCGGAGCTTAGAATAAGGGACTGACTCCCCGACATATACGTTTTGTCTCCGCGGGGGATGGTGGAGTAGTACACCACCTGGACTAACCTCTTTTCTAATCCCTAAGAGGTCGTAGGTTCGAATCCTGCTCCCCCTAACCTATTTTCCGATAGGTACGTACCTTAGGTAAAGGGGGCTAGTAGTGGCCCCTAAACCCCTGCTAAGTAGATAACCAATAGCCTGGGCACCTATCCTTATCGAGACAGCAGAATAGCCTAAAAAGGAAGGGGATTCCTTACTAAGCTACTACCGGCATAGGGTTATCATAAAGGGGGGGAAAAGGGTATAGGGCGCTACCGGGTACTCTTAGGTTTTTATCCGCAAGGTTTTTCCTAGGAGGAGATTTACTAAAGTGAAGGGGTTGGCGTATATGGCATTTCTTAGTAAATACTCCCACGCACTTTCCCTATCCCGAAAGTGGTAGTAGCGTGTCTTATATCGCATGTGAAATAGCACTTGGATAATTAACTTAGTAGAGCAGAAATCTCGTATATATATATTATATTAAGGTATATCTATATAAGTCTCTTATACCCTTAATTTAGGTAGTGAAGACTCTATTATAGGTACTATATTATTTAGATCCTATCCGGTCTTTTCCGGTATCCGCCCATATTATATCCTAATACCCGAGGTCTAAAACCCTTAGTTAGAGAGTGGATCCCCCCTAGATCCCTTATAGACTCTATTATAGTCCTGCCTATACGATACACCCCCCCAGTTAAGGTGGGTCTTCCCAGGTTAACTAACTAATTAGAGGCTTCGGTTTAAACTAAACGCTCTTAGCTTTTCTATCGTAAAATTAATAGTTAAGGGAAAAAACGCCCTCGTAAAAGGGATCTAAATCCGCCCTATTTAACCGTTGAATTTAATTCTGTCTTAATTAGTTCCTCGATCCTAATTAGCCGGATCTACTTAATCGGATTTATATTTATCGGATCTACTACGCCCTTAGAGGCCTTCGTAGTCGCTACGGCTATAGCTTTAGCGCGTTTAATCTTTTCGTATAGCCGTTTAGACTACTTAATACGATCCGTTTAATCCGTTAAATTAAGCTATTATTATAGTCTTTTAATCCCCGCCTCCGGTAATACCTTCGTTAAACCGTCCGCGATTATGTCCTTCGTATTAACGTATATAACCTTAAAAAGACCTTATTATACTAACTAGCGCGCCTATTAGTTATATATATCGACGTACCGTAGCCTTATCCGTAGGCGTTATACCTTTTTATTATCGAGGTTAATAGTCTATTAATTATCGTAGTATAGCTATAGTTACTCTTAGTCTAACCGAAGCTCTAAATCCCTTAATATCCGGCTAACGAATAACGTCTTTTTAGCGGCCTCTATAAAAGCGAGTAGTTCCGATTCTATTAATAACGTCGTGACTATCGGTTACTTACCCGCCTTCTAGTTAACGGTTCCCCTAAAGAGCTTTATCGTATATCCTTATAAACTTTTACAGTCTAGATTATCCTTAAAGAACGCGTCGCTTACTATTAGGAAAAGCCTATCCCCGCCGAATTCAAGGTAGTAGTATCTCGTATAGTATAAGAATAGCAGCGCTTATTAAGCCCTCTTAAGATAGTTAAAGGAGGGATTAATATTATATTAGGAAAGCTTCGAATAGGCGAACGCGATATCGGGTCTTATTATAATAGCGGCGTATAGGATAAAACCGATTATACCTTAGTACTAGTGGACCTCGGGAATTAACGCGCGGGTGCCGTCGCGGGGTATTACCGGCTCCGTAGATAATAGGACCTTTAATGGTTTTCGGCAGAGTATATCTATATAGTATTTAACCGCGACCTTCTCTACGTAGGAGAATTATAATAGCTATAGCCTATAAGTGGCTCTATCCCTTAGGACTTTAATTCCTAGGAACTAACGGATTTCTTCGCCTCCTAATAACCTATAGCTTCGCTTAAGGGCGGCCTTAAGGTCGTCGGTGTTAGTCCTATAGTCTTTATAGTATATAAGTCCGATATTATTAACGTAGAAGAATAGGATTAAACCGTCGCGGATTATAATATAAGGGTTATTAAGTATAGCCGTGAATTCTATCCTCTATAGCGTGCCGCTAAATTCCTCTTATTATAGTAATAGCGATACCCTTAAGCCGAAGAGGGCTTTCCGTAGTAGTAGTACTTTACCTAGCACTTTATAGCCTTACGGTATTTTTATAAATACCTCTTCTTTAAGGCTAGCGTTAACGAACGTATTAATAGCGTTAAACTACCTTATCTTTAGGTTAAATCGGGCGGCGATCGCTATTGTATACGGAAGGACCGTGAGACTAGCGTTACGACGTAGTTCTCTTTAGTCTTTAACCGTTTTTATTAATCCTCTTAGACTATAAAGCATGCCTTATACTTAAGGAGGGTGCCCTCTTTATTATATTAATAGGTATATACCTACCTATAGGCGAGGACTTATTACTTATTAGCCTAATTACTACTTACCTCCCGCTAATAGCCTATTTATTAATACCCCTTAAGGTATTCCCCCTTAGCCTATAATAACCGCTCCCGTAATAGGTAAACGCATATATTATGGTGGTAGCTTAGTAGAGACGGGAGGTCCTTACGGGTTATATACGATAACGATAGCGGCTAAGAGGTATAAGGGGAATCTATAGCACTGATATTATTATTAATAGCTTACTTCCTCGCGCGTATAGGGTTATAAGTTCTTTTAGCGTTAAAGAATACCTTTTAGGCATTATCGTTCTATACCTTCTCGGTCTTATAGATACTTATAATAGATAGGCGCGTGGGTAATAAGCGCGTAGCCGACAGGCACCCCTTAAGGGTATCCCCGGCTATCCATTAATAGTTATTATATTCTTTTACCTTAACGCCCTTAACCACCGCTAACGCTATAAGGAACGCGCGCGCGGGATCTTCCGGGGATATTAAAGGCGTAGGAAACGGTTTAAACCTCGTAATAGTAAACTATAAAGTGTCCGTAGTAATAGCGGTACCCGTAGTAATAGCGGTAATATAGTCTATAGTAATAGTAATAGCCTCTCCCGTAATAATAGCGGTAGCGTTAGAATTATAAGGTTTTAAATCTATAGCCTAGGTATTAGGCTATAGATTTAGAATCTTATCTATAGTAATAGTAATAGCCTCTCTCGTAGTAATAGCGACGGCCTCGCCTTTATCCGTAGTAATAGCGGTAGTATCGCCTTTACCCGTAATAATAGCGGTAGCGTTAAAGTCTTCCGACTTAAGATCTAATACGTCTACGGCTATACCCCTTAATAATAGCCTATTCGTAGTCTTATTAGATTAGATAATATGGATAAATTATAGGCGTTCCCTGATTTCCTCCGCGGAAGCTATAGCTTATAGCGTTTTAATCCTACTATCGAATATCTTATGTTTATTAAAGAGTATATCTTTTATAGTAATAATATCTATTAGGTATAATAGCTAAATACGGAAGCTATTTAAGGATTAGTATCCGATATAATAACTAATCTATACCTTTAGTTCTAACCTTTATAGGCGGTTTCTTTTAGCTTAGGTATCGCGCGTTTTTATAAAGGCTTTATAGCTATAAGCTTATAGGTACGTAAAGTTAGGTTAACAGCCGTATAGGCCTTCGTATAGCGTTTACTAGTCGTTAATATATTATAGCATCCTATTATACAGATACATGGTAGTCTTAAAAGTCTTAGGCTAGATAAATATAGGCAGATTAGCTCTAATCCTTATAGCCCTCGCCCTTCTCTTAACTATACCTTTAATCTATTCTCTAACGCAGTTTTAATCCTATAAATATAGTACTAATAGCTAGCCTTCTACCCTCTTAGCAGCGAGGAAAGTAATAACTTCTAGGTACTAAAATATCTCGGAATCGGCTTATAGAATATATAGCTGGATACCGAATTAGGTCTTAAGTAGGGCAAAAACATCTTTTAAAACGTATAGGATAAAGCCTTAGTCTTTTTTCTATAGGTAGTAATCCTATATATAACTTATATACACGTCTATAACGAATATAATAGACTTATACAGACTGCCCGCTAACGACTCCGCCTTTTCCAGATTATAAAAATTAATAGCTAAGGCCTCTCCGGGCTTCAACGGGTAAAAGGATAGTATCCGCCGGATCTACGTAGGTATTAATAATTACCTATACGCGTTATAGTCCGTTATACGAGGTCCCTTTATCTTTACCCCCTAAATAGCATCGACGATCTTCGTAAGAGTATCGGTACCGTAATAGCTAAGGCGTTCGTGCTACCGTTATACCGTAGTCTTCTACGGTTACCGCGGTTATCATAATCTCCCCTACGGGTTATCGCGCGGGTGCCTTACTAAGACCGCGAACACGGTAGCGGCTATAGCTTCCGCGCACTTAATTATATACTAACCGTGGATATCTAGTAGCTTATAGATAGGCCGGTTATTGGCGGAGTTAATAATAGTATTATTTACGGTATCCCAGCGGTAACCTTATAGGCGTAGCTAGTATTCCGAGATAATATTAATAACGAATTCCTTATAGTATATAACGTTACGGAAGCGTAATAGCCTCTTTATACCTAATAGGGATTATACACGTAGCTTAACGTCTCCGTATCCGAGGATAGAAGCCTTATAAGTACCTACCTAAAAGGATAAGGATAAAGTATCTATAAGTAGTCTAATAGCCGTAAAACAGCCTTAATTATTAAAGATATAAATTAACGATCCTAAATCTAGTATCGTATAGTATAATAACGCTTTAGCTTAGTTAATAAAAAAGGATACCCCTTATTCTTATTATAATCTTAATAGTATCGTTATACGATAACACGCTACCCCTTAGGTTAGGTGGGCTCTTAGTCCCGTCGCGGTAACGGATAAGTCTTTATAAACTATTATAGTAGTAGGCGTAGTATTATAAAGTTAATCTTCCTAGACTTCCTTTATCTTATTAGCGGTAGTAGTTACTACTTCCAGCCTCTTCTATATCGTATTATCTACGCGGCTTTTAAAACTATAGTTACGTATCTTCTTTTCCGTAGCCTTTATAATATCCTCGCGACTATACTAGGTATAAGAGTGTATATCCGGCCTTATATACTAATAGGCGGCGGTAGTATAGGGGTTCTTATATATCTTGTAAGGCCTCCTTATTATAGGAGGGATAGCCTTTACGAATATATCGCTACGAGGACGCTTTTTATTATCTTTATTATTAGTAGTATCCTTAGTATCGGGGAGGTTCCTAAGGGTATTAAAGGTGCCTCTCCCGACTCTAGGCTTTATAGTAGAGGATTATAGGCTTTTTATATTACTAAGAACCGCATGTAAAGCCTTTACGAAGTCGTTACTCGTTAGCTCGTTACCCGTAATCTTATCGTAGTTATTTACTAGGTAGTTGTTACTCTATTCCTAGGCAATAGGTCTAATAGCTTTTAACGCGTCTTCTACCTTAATAGTCCGCGCTTAATAGCTCTAAAAGGCCTATATATTTATAGTATATTATCGCTATTTTCTAGCTTACTACTTAGGCGTCTATATCCTTAGGTATAGCCTTTATAGGCGTAGTGTATTATCGGTATAGGACTAAGGCTTCCTTACGGAGGTCTATAGATATTAGTCCTATATATATATATAGAAGAGTAATCCAGGCCTATAGGTTATTTACGGTATTATCCTATAGCTAGGCTAGGAGGCTACGTAATATAGTATAGATAGTCCTTTTAATATAGGAGCGTACCTTATTAAACTCCTTTTACTACGCGTTATAGTCTGCCTTTTCTTTATAGTATACACGGCGATCTTAGAGGTAACGCGTATACCCCTTTTTAGAGAGGTTATTAATAGATATAGGCGTCCTAATTATTAGTTTTTTTATTACGGCTATAATCGTAACCTTTTAGCGGGCGGCCGTGCTTTTCTTACCGGCGGCTATAGCCGCTGTAGTAATAGCTATAGTAGCGGCGGTATCTGTGGCGTCCGTGGCCTTATCGCCCTTTAGCGTAATAGTAGAAGATAAAGTAGCCGTGGCCTCCTCCGCCGTATTAGAGTCCACGGCGAGGGCCTTATATCTATACATATTAGGCGGTATAGGTATAGGGAGGAGATAGGCGTTAGCCTCCTTATCACTTAGCTTTAGATTAAGATAGTTATCCTAGTAAGAGGTAGATTTACCGTGTATAGTATACTCCTATATTACTTAATCCTTTTAGTTAATAAGGGTAATAGCGGCCGCCTTTTATTCGGCGTTAGATATATTAGAAGATATCTTTACTAGTTTATCGTTTATCGGTTAGTTAATTAATAGGTAGGTTAATTAATCTCTTAATTACTCTAATTAGATTAATTATAGTTATTTAAGAGTGTTTATATAAATATAATTACTTCTTTATAGTAGAATAAGGGTAGCCTTATTAATATCTATCTTTTAGACGTTATAAGCCGGGCTTATAACTATCGCACGTTAAATAGCACTTAGATAATTAACTTAGTAGAGTGGAAATCTCGTGTATATATATTATATTAAGTTATATTTATGTAAGTCTCTTATACCCTTAATTTAGGTAGTAAAGACTCTATTATAGGTACTATATTATTTAGATCTTATCCGGTCTTTTCCGGTATCCGCCCCTATTATATCCTAATACCCGAGGTCCGAAGCCCTTAGTCAGGGAGTGGATCCCCCCTGGATCCCCTATAGACCACGTTATAGTCCTGCCTATACGATAGTCCGTGCTAATCGATAATTATACTCTAGGATAAAGCAAAGGCTCCTCCGCCTTATACAGCTTCTTCCTAAAAGTGGCACTGGTCGCCGTACTCCGCAGTTGCTGTCGGTCTGCACTTCTCTGTCCAGTCAAGTAATAACGGAGCAAGCAGACGGAGTCCTTGGGCACTATAAACGCAGTCGAAGACTAAAAAAAGGAAAAAAAGGCGGTATCATAAGGTCCAACCAGGAATCGAACCTGGATTACGGGAATCAAAATCCCATGTCCTAACCATTAGACCATTGGACCTCTCTTTTTTCGAGGCGAAGAGCACAAGGCGCCAAGCTCGATCATCTTCTGTGAAAATATTTCGTTTTTTAGAAACCTCGTAAGTATGAGAAGGGACTCGTGATCAAATCTTCTTGAATACCACGCGTAAGAATAAATACACTTTCAAATGCGGACGGATAATTGCACCAGGGTTAGGAGTGGCGGCTCGTCCTTTGTCCCCTCGGTATTCGCTCGTGTCTACTTCTGTCGGTACCCAGATAGCTTAAAGAACGGTAAGAGCCTCTACGCGGGAGAATATGTGAGAATTTGGGAGATGCAGGGGTTAATAAGCGCGACAAGATAGCTATGGGCGAAGGGGTGAGCAGACGCGACCATCCAGCAAAAGAATAGCTTATGTGTTGGCCATCCGTCCGAACACCATCCCCCCAATATAACTACCGGCGTTGAGCTTTGCTTACTGCGTCGACTGCTTTCCCTTCTGCTTGTCGTTCAAATGTGCCCGTTGCCCGGCTCTCTTCATACGCCTGACGCAAGTGAAACGCAGGTTGGCCGATATGTAGGCGGAATCGATGAGCACTGTTGTATGTTAATATACGCGAGTTATTCATCAGCTTTCGACTTCTGTTCTGCCTACTGTACATCTGTTGTTTTGGAATTAATAAGCTTTAATGCCTAAGTATAGAGATGTTAAGGCTCTGTGGGTGGCGGCCCAGAGACTACGGAGTAATTACAGAGGGTTGAAGGTCTTTGGCTGGGAGCTTGTTCTGGTACGCATTGTTTTGGTCTGTCCAGGTTAATAGGTGGTAATCCAGACCCTGTAGTTATTCTAGGGAATGACTCCCCGATATATAAGTTATGTCCCAGCGATATGTAAACCCACTTATAAGTGGGGCTATTAAGATAAGATTACCGTATATAAGTATCCTCTATAATCTGTATATTCAGCCCGAGTAGAATTCTAGGTATACTCGTTATTGTATTATATAGGGAAGGTTAGCCTGGTTAATTAGCGATATTATTAATATTATCGGTTAGCTTATTGAATTAACGATATAGCTAGTCAGGGCTTATATAATTATTAACGATATTATCGGCTTAAAATATAATAAGTATAAATCTCTAGGTACTTAAGCTATAGATATAGATTATATAGGATACTTATATACAGTAATCTTATCTTAATAGCCCTACTTATAAGTGGGTTTATATATCGCTAGGATAAAACTTTTTTTTTTTTAAATTCAGGTTTATTAAAGTCCGTATACAACCCTAAAGTTATAATAGACTGTTCGGAGGTACCGAAAGGTATAAACTAGGTATAAGATATCGTATAGGCAGGACTATAACGTAGTCTATAGGGGATCTAGGGGGAATTTACTCCCTAACTAAGGGCTTCGGACCTCGGGTATTAGGATATAATAGGGGCGGATACCGGAAAAGACCGGATAGAATCTAAATAATATAGTACCTATAATAGAGTCTTCACCACCTAAATTAAGAGTATAAGAGACTTACACAGATATGACTTAATATATTACATATATACGAGATTTCTACTCTACTAAGTTAATCATCTAAGTGCTATTTGACGTGCGACACGGACGAGCTTGAACGGTAGAATGTTATTCCAGCATAAATAAGGACTAAGGTAAGTCAGACCCCCCCTTTCTGGCCTATACCCCATTTTGGCCCCCTAAACCACACCAAAAAACGGGATTTCGTACCCCTGTTATTTCACTAACCGTAAAAGGAAACCCTATAAAGTTAAGATATTATATAGATAGTTATACGGTTATTAGATATATAATATTATTCTTTCTATATACTAAAGCTATAAGCTAGAATTAGACTTAGAAGTTAGCTATTCTTATCTGTCAGTGTTGTCTAGTAATTTATTAGTTAACCTTAATCGAATAGAATATTCTATAATAAATTACTAGGACTAAAACACTCGAAGTACTATATCTTAAAAATCTTACAAAAAGTCGATATAATCTATATATTAGGTCGATAGTCTATATTATATATTAGCTTCTAAGTTTTTTAAGAGAACCCTTTTTTTAATAAACTTTTATAGAGAAGAAACTTAATACTATTGTATAAGATTAAGTATAGTATATTATATAAGTCGGACTTTACTTTTAAATAGTTCGTAATTTATACCTATTTTTAATATAAAATAGCTATAGTATACTACTTATCTTAATTTATTATAGAACTTTATCTGTTCTTAAGGTTTACTAGTAAAGGGAATGACTCCCCGATATATAAGTTTTGTCCCAGCGACATGTAAACCCACTTATAAGTGGGGCCACTAAGATAAGATTACCGTATATAAGTATCCTATATAATCTGTATATATAGCCCGAGTACCTAGAGATTTATACTTATTATATTTTAAGCCGATAATATCGTTAATAATTAAATAAGCCCTGACCGGCTATATCGTTAATTAAACGAGCTGACTGACGATATTAATAATATCGCTAATTAACCAGGCTGACCTTCGCTACGTGATACTATAACGAGTATACCTAGAATTCTACTTGGGCTATACATGCAAATTATATAGGATACTTATATACGGTAATCTTATCTTGATGGCCCCATTTATAAGTGGGTTTACATATCGCTGGGACAAAACTTACATATCGGGGAGTCAGTCCCCTAGTAAATCGCTAGATAATACGAATAGATTAAAACAGGTAACTTCTAAGTCTAGTTCTAGCTTATAGCTTTACAATATATAAAGAATAAAGTTATATATCTGATAACCGTATAATTATCTATAAAATATCTTAATTTTATAGGGTTTCCTTTTACGGTTAGTGAAATAACAGGGGTACGAAATCCCGTTTTTTGGTGTGGTTTGGGGGGCCAAAATGGGGTATGGGACCTGGGAGATGTGGCCAGTGTGGCATCTGCTGCGCCGCTGTCTACCTAGGCAGTCACATTATGCTTCCCTGACGTTTTCTTCACGTTTTCTTCTTGGCTTTGTGGCTGAGGTCTGCCCCCACATCATACAACGCACCTACTCCAGACGTTGAAAGGCCACACATCCAACCGAGCTTCGAGTCGAAGCACGTTTCCCACCTCTGATAAGCTACCGTCCAACACGCCTCCTCCCCCAACCTTCCCACGTCGCACCGACTTCGCCTGACTGCTGATTGCTTTCTCGACGGGCTTTGGACCTCGTCGCGGAGCAACACCTTTCGCGGTTGATTTTTCTCCACAGGGCATCAAATCATCAATCAACCCAAACCAGACCCCTCTCCCCTCCCCTTCCTCTTCCTTCCTCTTCCATTCTCATCCTCCAACATGTCTGCTCCCTACGACGGATATGGTCAACAGTCCCCGGCCGATGTAGCGTACGCCGGCCAGCCGCAAGAGGGCTTTGAGCAGGCCCCGGCGCCAACCGCGCCCGCTTCTGCCGCCGACCACGGCAAGAAGAAGAAGAGAGGCTATGCGGCGCAGGCCTACGATTTCGGTGCTGGCGCCAACTCCGCTGCCAACCCCCAGCCCGCCGCTGGCGCTCAACCGTATGGCGCCTATCCTCAACCTCAGACCCCTACCTACCCAGCCGGCTATCCGGGGCAAGAGCCTCAGCCTGTAGCCCCGACGTACGGTGCCGCTCCCGCTGATGTTGCCCCCCAGTACGGCGCACCCCAACCTCAGGGCCAGGGGTATGGTGGCTACCCAGCGCCAGATGCTGCCTATCCCGCTCCCGTCGCCGGCGGCGTTTCTGGCCCGGGAGTTCCTGGTGCTGCGGGCCTTAGCCAGCAGATGGCCGGCATGAACTTGGGTCCCGGCAGCCAGCCTCAAGCTCAACCGGGCCAGGCAGCCAGGCCCGTGGCTTTAAACCAGCTCTACCCCACCGACCTTCTAAACCAGCCTTTCAACGTCTCCGAGTTGGATCTGCCTCCTCCGCCCATTGTTTTGCCTCCCAACGTAAGATGATCTCTTCCAGGCCCCGCTGCGGTCTATGCCTGGCTGACATTTCTATTTCTTCCATAGTCGAGCGTTACCCCCTCTCCAGATGCAAATTGCTCACACAGATACGTCCGATCCACGCTCAATGCCGTCCCGACTACGCATTCTCTCCTGAAGAAGTCTCGCCTGCCCTTCTCGCTCGTTATCCAGCCATACGGTGCATTGCACGACAATGATGACCCTGTGCCGATCATCCAGGATCAGATCATCGCTCGCTGCCGACGATGCAGGACATACATCAATCCCTTCGTTACGTTCCTTGACCACGGTCACCGCTGGAGGTGCAATATGTGCCAGCTGACGAACGACGTCCCTCAAGCATTTGACTGGGATGCGGCCATGCAAAAGGCCACCGATCGATGGGCCCGCCACGAGCTCAATCACGCCGTTGTTGAGTTTGTAGCCCCCCAGGAGTATATGGTTCGGCCTCCGCAGCCATTGGTATATTTGTTCCTCTTCGACGTCAGCTACGCAGCTGTATCGTCCGGCCTCCTCGCCACCAGCGCGCGGACCATACTTGATAGCCTGAACAGGATACCCAATGCGGATCGGCGCACCCGCCTCGGCTTCATCGCCGTCGACAGCAGCCTACATTACTTCTCTATCCCCAAGGATGACGACGAGAATGGCGACACCAACATGCTGGTTGTGAGCGACCTAGACGAGCCTTTCCTACCAGTGCCTCAAGACTTGCTCGTGTCGCTCAGCGAGAGCCGCCAAAGCATCGAGAACTTCTTGACCAAGCTGCCCGCGATGTTCCAGAACAACCAGAGCAACGGCTTCGCACTCGGGCCTGCTCTGCGGGCCGGTCATAAGCTCATCTCTTCCCTCGGCGGCAAGATGGTCGTTCTCGGTGCGTCTCTACCCAATCTAGGAATCGGCAAGCTCGACATGCGTGAAGACAAGAAGCTGCTTGGCACGAGCAAGGAAAGCAGTCTCTTGCAGACTTCCAACAGCTTTTACAAGAGTTTCGCGGTGGAGTGCTCTAAGAACCAGGTCTCCATCGACATGTTCCTGTTTTCTTCTCAATACCAGGACGTCGCCTCACTTAGCAATCTGCCGAGATATACGGGAGGTCAGACGTGGTTCTACCCCGGCTGGAACGCTGGCCGCCCTGAGGACGCCATCAAATTCGCGTCGGAGCTCAGCGACCATCTTTCGTCTGAGATCGGTCTGGAGGCGGTGCTCCGGGTGCGGGCGACGACGGGCCTGCGGATGAACGCGTTCTACGGCAACTTCTTCAACCGTAGCTCGGATTTATGCGCGTTTCCGGCGTTCCCCCGCGACCAGTGCTATGTGGTCGAGGTCGCTATCGACGAGAGTCTGACGAAGACCGTCGTCTGTCTGCAGACGGCCGTGCTCCACACCACCTGCAACGGTGAGCGGCGTATCCGGGTAATGACTCTCGCTCTGCCCACTACGACAAACCTCGCGGACGTCTACGCGTCTGCCGACCAGCAGGCCATCGCGACTTACTTCAGCCATAAGGCGGTGGAGCGTGCTCTGAGCGGCGGCTTGGATGCGGCGCGTGATTCGCTGCAGAACAAGCTCATCGAGCTTCTCCAGACGTTTAGGAAGGAACTGGCAGGCGGTAGCATGGGCGGCGGCCTGCAATTCCCCTCGAACCTCCGCGGCTTGCCGATGCTATTCCTCGGTCTGATGAAGAATGTTGGGCTGCGGAAATCGGCTCAGATTCCGTCCGACCTACGGTCGGCGGCTCTCTGCCTGCTTTCGACGCTTCCGGTGCCGCTGCTGATGCAGTACATCTACCCCAGGCTGTATTCTCTTCACGACATGCCGGACAATGCCGGAACGCCGGACCCGGAGACGAGTCAGATTGTGCTCCCACCGCCGGTCAACCTCTCGTCCGAGCGACTGGTCTCGTACGGTCTGTATCTCATCGATGATGGGCAGACACAATTCCTGTGGGTGGGCCGGGACGCCGTGCCGCAGCTTCTGATGGATGTCTTCGGCGTGGAGGACCGGACGCAGATTCGCGTCGGCAAAGGCTCCCTGCCCGAGTTGGATAACGACTTCAACGAACGGCTGCGAGCAGTGATTTACAAGAGCAGGGATCACATGTCCAAGGGCGTCGGCAGCATTACCCTGCCGCACCTGTATGTGGTGAGGGAGGACGGCGAGCCCAGTCTGAAGTTGTGGGCACAAACGCTGCTGGTGGAGGACCGGGCAGACCAGGGCATGAGCGCGGCGCAATGGCTGGGAATTCTGAGAGAAAAGGTAAGCCAGAGATAGAGTGTTGTCTCTCCCCC